ACACTGCACGATTCTCGTACGAGAATCGCTGGAAATCCCGCGATCGTACGAGAATCGTGCAGTGTGAATGAAGACGTGCGACCGTTTCTACTGTACGGTCGCACGTCTTTTGTCTAAGGAGCACGCTAGAAAACCAGCCGAAAATCGTACGATTTTCGGCTGGTTAGAACGGTGCTCGGGAGACAGATGCCGAACTGGCCGTTGTGCGCACGCGCACACTGCCCGTTCAGCATTGCGGTCATCGAAAGCCCGCCCCTCAGGGGGGCGGGCTTGCGATGATCGCAAGTACGATCTGCCTGTCCAAGATGGGCAGATCGTACGTTTTTTAAATTACTTTACAACCATCGCAAGACTAAGGTCTTGCGATGGTTGTAAAGTGTACGGCCACCTTAAAGGTGCCCATACACCTTACGATTACTTTTCAAAACTTTTCGTCCGATGATCGAATAGTCGTACGACTTTCGTGCGACAGCCGCATCCTGCCCCTATGATCGCAAGATTAATTTAGCTGTAATTAAGGAAAAGCACCTGGACGAAATGCGGTAATTGATTTGCCGTATTTTCATTAGCGCAAGCGCAGTGTAGATCGTACGACTTTTGACGGACGGAAACACCAGCAACCTTACGAAAATCGTACGATCTAGCAAAGTTTTCAAACATGCTTGACCGTCAAAGTCATACGATTGTACAGTACTGTCGGTCGGACACTGCAATGCACACATGCGATTATCGGCCGAAAAGTCGATCGCATACGAAAATCGTTCGATAATCGTAAGGTGCATGGGCACCTTAAGACACAGCTAACTCCTGCCACCTAGTGTCCTTCTGCTGCCAGGATGCAAACAGCTATTGTCACCTAGGATCTTTCTGTTAGGGTCTTCTGCAGGCAGCTATTGTCAATTAGCATCCTTCTGTTGCCAGGACTCAGTCCCCTATTGCCACCTAGGGTCCCTCTGTTGCTGGGACTCAGTCCACTATTGCCACCTAGGGTCCCTCTGTTGCTGGGACTCAGTCCACTATTGCCACCTAGGGTTCCCTCTGTTGCTGGGACTCAGTCCACTATTGCCACCTAGGGTCCCTCTGTTCCTGGGACTCAGCCCACTATTGCCACCTAGGGTCCCTCAGTTGCTGGGACTCAGTCCACTATTGCCACCTAGGGTCCCTCTGTTGCTGGGACTCAGTCCACTATTGCCACCTAGGGTCCATCTGTTGCTGGGACTCAGCCCACTATTGCCACCTCGGGTCCTTCTGTTGCTAGGATGCCTAGGGATCTATCTAGCTATGATACTTTCTATTTCCACTTCCACCAACAACTTTTACTTACTACAGGTATTTATAAAGCAGACAATTTACACAACACTTTACATAGTTGCACATTCACATCAATCCCTACCATCAAGAAGCTTACAATCTACGGTCCCTATCTCACATACATACAGGGCCAATTTTAGAAAGGAGCCAATTAACCTTCCAGCATGTCTGTTATGGAGTGTGGGAGGAAACCAGAGTGCCCCGGAGGAAACCCACACACACACAGGGAGAACATGCAAACTCCTGGCAGACAGTGACCTGGCCAGGATTCAAACCAGGGACCCCAGTGCTGCACGGCAGAAGCGCTAACCACTACGCCACTGTGCTGCTTTACTTATTACATTACCTTCAAATGACACACAGTCACACTATCTGGCATCTGCCTTTCCCTAAGGTGTAACAATTTCCTCTTTATCTTTCAGATTGTTATCTGTACATGTAGCTTCCAGGGCTTGCTGATCCAGACAGAGGGGAAAAAAGGTTCTCTGGTATATTGTCATTCTTCTTCCTCACTTACTCCTCTTGTACTGCAAATCTCCTGCACACAGCTTGAGAGCCTTTCAAAACATTTCCACAATCATCTGGAATCCAGAGCTCAAAGGTCTTTGTACACGGGTCCATATTAAAGGAGAACTCCAGTATGCAGAAATTTATATTTTTTATAACTCCCCCTCCCCATACCCTGCCCTTGTTCTAAAGCTGAACTCCAGGCAGATACAAAATCCAAAAATCAATCAATGTATTTCTCATTACATTATAGAAGGGTATCAATGGGCAAAAACTAAAAATAAATCTGTATTTTTATATTGCATTTCTATAAGTTCTATCCCGCTCCTAATAACCAGATCCATCTAGAAGTTTGTAAACTTACTTAATGAAGATGCCCATAGGATGGACTTCCTCAATGCACTGCCACCATTTTACTCAGCTTTTGTCACCACATGTCCCATAATTCATTGCTGCATTGCACATGCATGACACTTGCTTTTGTCACCACATGTCCCATAATTCATTGCTGCATTGCACATGCATGACACTTGCTTTTGTCACCACATGTCCCATAATTCATTGCTGCATTGCACATGCATGTCCCTTGTAAGTTGCTTTGAATCACTTTCACTTTGGAGGAAAAGCAGAGATGTGTCTTGGAGCCCATTCACACCATAGCATTGCGGTTATCATATCCTATCACACAGCTCACCAAGTGTGAGTAACATACCCTATTTATTTGAATGGCACCCCAACATTCATGCTTTTCTTTTTTTACTGCACTGCAAGGGTTAAATGCTTGTTTTTGCCTAGAGAGCTAAAATAACAGAGATATATTCACCCGAACTACTGTATCCTAAACCATTCCCTGCAGCCTCGCTCCCCTTCTGCTCCAGCGGTCTAAGTTCCCGTGAATCATCACATCCTATACTGTGTATAGCACGTGAGGATGCCAAGGGACAGCCCATTGTTGGAGTGAAGGGGCGGCTAAAGGGGCCATTCCAGGAGCCAGCTAGGATTGTGGTTCGGGCGAGTATAATTCTGTTATTTTAGCTCCCTAGGCAAAAACGAGCACATAACCCTTGCAGTGCGGGGGTAGCCCCACTGTAAGGGTTAAGATTTATTTGCCTGAAGTTCTTTTTTAGGTTTGCCCAGATAGAGCAGCCATACATCGATGAGATTTCCGCACAGCACAAATTTGAGCTCCAGGTGGGCCTGTTGGCACCAGCTGGTTCATCAAACTTCGACCTAAAAATTGAAGGAACCGGGTGGAAAAGTGTTGCCCAAGGTGTGTAGGGGCCCTGCAAAGAGCACAGGGTTGTTACCTTGCATTGGGCATGTCATATGATCTTATACTTTCAAGATGAAGTTAAGCAAAAAAAAAAAAAAGTCAAGCAATAGTAAACATTTAAAAGGTGCTTTTTGCTACAATACTCACCTGGTGCTATCACTTGCAGTATTTCTTTTTGCCACCAGATGTTCTCAGTATTCTGTGTTGAATGACACCCATTGTCATTCAACCTGCTTACCCGAACCCAGGCTGTCATGGACCTGTGCTAACTAAAAGTGGCATCCCTGTTTGATGCCGTGCCGATCTGGGAGTAAGGGGCCAGACTTGATTGATTGATTGATTGGGCCAGTCTTGATTGATTGAGTGGATTGATTGAGGGTTTCAATTACATAGCTTCCATGTGGTTTGGTAATGTATCCAAATGAACTCTTTCAAAAAACCTACAGAGGGGATTCGTTCACCAGGCAAATCAGAGTTCGGAAGCAAACACCCAATCATTAAGCATTTATGGTGAGTAGGTCTTTCTTATGGCACAAATGGGAGCCTGCACTGGTCTGAAGAAAGTTTCTGAGCTGTGCTGAGTAGTAGTGATACTACTAGTAGTAAACACTGCACTGCCATTGGAAGGCTCCAAAGTGCTTACTGTAACAAGAAGATACAAGCTGTGTTTCATTTACTATTGGTTAAGACCCCGGGAAGGGGGCGTTCTTCTACAATCTTTCCAGCCTCACCATGCTATTTTCACTGCTAAATAATATAAATGGTTTTTTAAAGCCTAAAATATACCAAACACTTTGTTTAGGATAGTATTGCAAACTACTCTACTTTGTATACTTTGCTGTCTTCCCCTGAGGAGCGTGGTGATGTTGAAAGACCAATTCTTTTTACACATAGCTCACATATCTGCCAGTAAAAATGCCTTCCTTTCAGGAACTCTGATTGACAGACGCAACACTTGCTGAGATTGCGATCCCTGGCTCACCATGAATTCAGTTCCATAGACAAACAATTTGTGAATAGCCCTGTTAGACTTTAGGTCTTTTGCAATTGCTGTGTGCCATTGTACACAGGGTGTTCATCATGGAAGCTAAAGAGAGCCCGGAATGGAAGGGACAGGGGCACACAAGGGAAAGTTCAGACTGTCTACAGGAGACCATGTATTTGATGTTTGAAAAGTTGCTACATGAGCCTGTTAGTAAGTAACGCTACATACAAGAATTCTCTGTATTAAAGGAGAACTATGGGGTCAGGGCTTTTCCCCATAGTTCTCCTAAGGGTCATGGAAGAACACAAACTAGCGTTCTCCCGTGACCCAAAGCTCAGTATAACGCGAGCTGCAGCGGTATACTGAGACGCTGCAGCCGGGATAGATCCAGACATCGCTGTCGAGATCCACCCAGCTGTGAGATTGACAGCTGGCTCTGCCTATCCAGAGGCAGAGCCAGCTGTACCTGCTCCCTCCCCCGTCCGTTCCGCCAGTCAGCGCTGGAGGATAGGACAGGGGAAGGGGGGGGGGGGAATCCCTGCAGGGAGCCGTGAGTGACAGTCACGGCTCTCTGCAGGGATAGATTGAGAAGTGAGCTAGCGACGGTATGTGTTCGCTCACTTCCCGATCTACTAACCCAACCTGTGACAGTCTCATTGTCACAGGTCGGCTCAGATTATGAGGCTGAGTAAAAATCACTCGCCTCATAATTCTCCTTTAAGCTGTTCTTATTTGCTATGCAGGGTATTTGTTTCCCACATTATAACAACTCGTACATGTCGATATGAGTGAATTACAAGTGTTCTGGAAGACGAGAGGACAACAGTGTCAGTGCAAAGAGGCAGTGACATTTTTAAAGCCGCTTCATCATAAAATGTCACAGAGTGCATGTAAATGAGAGACTGAAGGATGTGTTTGCCTTACCTGCTGTCCGTGATAAAACACCGCCAAGAGGAACATGGCCATTAGCAGCAGAGAGGCCTCTTTCGTCCCCAGGAAGTCGGTGCTGGGGAGAGATAAAAGAAGAATCTCAGATACTTTATCAGGGTAACAATACAGTGTGAGTTCGGTACAAGGAGGACGGTTAGTAAAGCGGCTTTCAAAACTCGCTGTGTAGGCGGCTGCTTAGCCTGTTTACACTCCATTATTTATTCATGAATTCACAAATAGATAGTCTGCCTGAAACCACATTGTCCACATCCAGAGAGAAGCCAGCCATCATATTCCCTGACACACTGAAATGTGATTCATCTAAATTTAGTGGTTTCATTTAAAGAGAACTAGTCTCCTCATTGCTGACATACACAGAATCGTGTACCCTGTCACAATATATATAAAGATAATCTGCTAAAGAAGAACATAATTAGTTGTCTATATATATAAAGATAATTGGAACGCCTTTAGCTTTGATTACGGCACGCATTCGCCGTGGCATCGTTTCCATAACCTTATGCAATGTCACCACATTTATTTCTGTCCAAAGTTGCATTCATTTTTCACCAAGTTATTGTAATGATGATGGGAGAGTCGGAGCACTGTGTAAAGTTATCTCCAGCACATCCCTAAGATTCTCAATGGGGTTAAGTTCTGGACTCTGATGGCCAAACCATGTGTGAAGATGATGTCTCATGATCTCTGAACCACCCTTTCACAATCTGAGCCCGATGAATCCTGGCATTGTCATCTTGGAATATGCCCAATGTGCCAGGGAAGAAAAAATCCATTGATGGAAAAACCTGGTCATTCAGTGTATTCAAGTAAGCAGCTGACCTCATTTTTTGGGCACATAACATAGCTGGACCTAGACTAATTATCCAATGGAAGGCTCTGACCTTTGCGCTTATCTAAATCCAGGTGGTGACTTTTTTTGGCCAGGCAGTGTATAATAATGTATGTGTCTAATATAAAAGACGAGCCGGTGTTATCTGCCCAGCTAAGCAGCTTCTTTGGTGTCTTAAAGAATGGCCATGAAGGAACGGGTGGAGTGTCTCTGGAGCTGTGAAATAAAGTTTTATATGCAGAAGAACAATTGGTGCAGCTCTATGGTTTTTTTTTGGCACTAGGCAGAGAGGTGATGGAGCCTGGAGTTCTATTGGATGGAGTAAGGCACGGAACCTTATAGTGGTGGTGGACAGTATTCAGGACCTAGAGCAGCATGACAGCCTACACATTGATCCCAAATGCAGTCATATGCCGGCTCTCATCATACATCCTGCACAAAGGAATGTTATCTGGATATGAATGTGATTGCTGGCCAATGAAATACCTCCATTGTATTCAGCGTTACTGAGAAATGCAACTTTATTACCAACACACCACGGTTACACTTACTTCCCGTTGTGATGAGAGTTGTCATATCTCAAGAAGAGCGACGTATAAATTGTTTCTGTCAGTAGGGAATATATTGCTATCATAATAAGCAGCACTGCCAGCTTCAGGACGGAGTTGAGACGTAGAAAGACCGCGCAGGTGACCATTGCAAGAACTCCGGTGAAGACGAAGTACTGCAGGAAAAGAAAATGGTCGTTGTCAGCTATATAGACAGCAAATAATACAAACTGCCTCCCCTTACCCTCCCTTAGCCAATTCAGGACCTATGTGCAGAGTACTCAGTACTTAAAGCATATATGAATATTAACAATTAATTTCTTTTTTTTGTTCCCTTCTGGTCTGCTAAATATAATTAAAAGTGTTTTTTTTTTCATATCTGTTTAATAAGTGCCTCAGAATACCTGTTGATCCTGCCAGAAATCCAGTGACCTCCTAACTTACATGAGTTTTGTAGTTTTAACATACTTTTTGCCCTTGGGTGACACGTCTTACAAGCTGCAATATATGAAATATTTGTTCTTCGGTTTACATGCACTTTAAAGATATATGATTGGTATCCTTAGATACAAATGAATGCCGATTTGTATTCACACTACATCACTGAAATGTATTTTTTATATGCAAGCAGTGTATGTACCTGAATGTGATCTGGTGTCAACTTTTTGCAGTCCCTGTATACCAAAACACTACTCATGATGCCCTGTGCTGAAATTCCTTTATATTAATTAACATCATCCCTGAGGCTTTTTCACACCAGACACTGGTCACACCGATTCTGGCCAGAGCGCACTGCAGCGCATTGCAGCCGGCTCACTATCTTGTGGGGCTGGAGGGTGTGTGGCGTTCCATTGAAATGAATGGCAATGTCTGGTGTGAACGAGGCCTTAGACATCTACCAGCCAACACTTTGCACTGCTTCTGCTTCTCATACCCAGCTGTCACTGGCGATCGAAAACCAAAGTATTCCTGATCATGTGATCATTATGTCAGCTATGACATAGTGATCGAATGCAAGTTGAAGACTTCACTGAGAAAAAAAAAAAAATGCCTTTAGCTTGTGTAGTTCATTGCTGCTTGTAGGTGGCAGTATAACTCTGTTTAATACTGTAGTCTTCTGATACAGTTATAGTACTATAATTATAGTATTAAAAATAAATTTTACAAACATCTATATAAAAAAAAACTGTGGGAAAACTATTCATAGTGGTGTATTTGGCAATTTTTTTACCCAAGATTTACACAATTTTCACCCAAGATTCACACATTTTAACATTGAAATCATTTAGAAAATTTGTCTTAGGTAGATGTTTATGTGAACCTTGGATGAGAGCATTCATATTTTGGCCCCACAGAGTGATGTTTACGTTAACCAATGCATACTGACCCTTCTAAATTTGGCATGGGCATCTAGGCTTCAGTACCGTGATTGACGGATATGAATATAGTATTAAAAAAATTTAGAATAACAATATATTTGTCTTGGGCATCTATGTAGGCTTTAGGGCACAACAGGGTTGAAGACTATGTTAAGCCAAATTATTTTTTCTAGTGTTGGATAGAGTGGGGAAGGGTTAGAACCCCAGTTAGGGTTTTAATGCTATCTGGGGCTCCTTTAGAGAGGCTTATCTTCAGATCCTGTCCTGCTGAGAATGGTTTAACCAGACAGGAAGTGGGGGAAATCTGCAATAGGGACACAGTTAGAACTATAAATCTGACGGGGGTTCTAGCTTTCCCGCTACATTTAAAAAAAAAAACATTTTTGTCTGTTACTGTTGCAAAGTTGTCATAACACCCAGAGCAGCACAATGGCGTAGTGGTTAGCACTTCCCTTGCAGCCCTGAGGGCCCCCAATTCAAATCCCGGTCAAGACACTATCTGCAAAGAGTTTGTTTCCTCCCACACTCCAAATACATGCTGGAAGGTAAATTGGCCCTCATATTTGAAATAGGGACCTTAGATTGTAAGCTCCTTGAGCTCAGGCTACCTAAATAAATAAATACCAATAATAAATAAATCACATCTTGTCTGGTAAAAGGTTGTCAGCAGGACAGGAAGTGAGCGTAAATCTCTCTCACTGGATAGAAGTATAAATCATGACAGAGGTTGTACCCTTTCCCCACTGCAAAACTAGGCTTGACATGCCCAGAGGTTATTGAAGCCTTGATGTCCAAATGTAGTTTTTTTATTTTACATGTTTTATTATTTTGTTTAATATTATAATTGTCTCAAACAATTACAGCACTGAAGCCTAGATGCCTGGGCCAAATTCAGAAGTAACAGTATGCATTTGGCTGGACACACACATTTTAAATTGTGTTTTGGATAGGACTGGATAGGAGTATAAACCCTGACATTGGTTGTACCTTTCCCCCACTCTATGCAAAACTAGAAAAAACAATTTTGGCTTGAAATGCCCAGAGGTTATTAAAGCCTGGATGCCCAGTCCAAATGTCATTTTTAGTTTACAATATTTGATATTTTGTTTAATACTATAATTGTATCAAACAATTACAACACTGAAGCCTAGATGTCCAGGCCACATTCAGAAGTGTCAGTATACAGTGGTTAGTTTTGGCTGGACACACATTTTAACTAGAAAAAAGTGTTTGGTTTGAAATGCCCACAGGTTATTGAAGCCTAGATGCCGTCCTAATTTTTATTTTACATTTAAAATTTTGTTTAATACTATAATTGTGTCAAACAATTACAGCACTACATTTCAAATGCTGTTTTTTGTTTTAAATCTGCCTACAGTCCAGCAATGGACAGCCCACATGAAAGTGTAAATGAGGCCAATGCATCCCCATTGTGATTACTTTACTCACAGATGAATATATATTTTCTTTTTAGCTAACTGGACCGAGCTCTTTTGCTATGTGGTCAGTGCAAACAGCGGTTATCAGAGCCCTTCATTAGCTAAAGTACACATTCCCATCACCTCCTTTTTATCTGGAATGCCTGCAGTTCTATAATAACATGTATTCAGAACACCGAATAATGGCGCAAATAATAATGCGCTTTCTACAAGGGAAAATGTAGAAAAAAAAGGGGCCTCGAAAATGAACTCGGACGTATGGAGAAAAAAAAAGAAAAACCTTTAAGTGGCTTTAAACAAGCTTATTTTCCAGCTAGCTGCCCATTCTGCCTTCTGCCCCGGTGCACCCGGCCACAATAACATGTTATTAGTTCAAACATGGTGTTGCTGTGCAGCAAACTCCGATAATTTGTGTCTCCCTTGTGTCGCCTGTTATTGTGCAGTCAAGAGTTTTTCTTGGATCCGGCCCGACACATTGTGACACCTTCGTATTCATTTCTGCGGAAAATTAGCCGCACACAATGGGCCCGCGATGAGAGAAAGAGGTGCGGGCGATTTGTCAGCGATCTCACCGGGGAGCAAAAAAAATATTTTCCGTAAAAAGTTTCAATTAACAGAAAATATTATTTTTGCGGTTTGAGGTTTGAAGTTTTTATTGCCTTCCCCGAGATGTATTATGCGCCTATACGTCTTGCAACAAGTGACCATTAGCCGAGAGAGTGACAAGATCGCAATTACCTCGGGATAAAAGCAGATGTCGGTAACGGAGGCTGAGGAGTTGAATGTCTGGTTTTTTGAGGTAATTGATTTGTCGAAATCACACCACAGCTGCGGGGAGAGGAAGAGGGGAGAATTAATTGGAGGGAAACTGAAACACATCTATATATAGTTAGAAAAGTAACAACAACAATGTAAAAAATAATGATTGAGACTTGATAGAGGCATTTTGTGTAGGAAGTGAGAAGTTTGATCCTTTACCCAAATGTGATGGACCTATATGTGCAGGGCCAACATTACAAACCACGGGGCCCTGTACAGCCAACCTGACAGGGCCCCCTAGTCAACCCCACCGCATAACCCAATGAAATTATTATTATTATTATACAGGATTTATATAGCGCCAACAGTTTGCTCAGCGCTTTACTATATAAGGAAGACATTACAATCACAATATAATTCAAGACAAGTTGGTAAGGAGGGCCCTGCCCCTGAGGGCTTATAATCTAAAAGGGAGGGGCAAGTGATACATGAGGAGGTAGCTGTGTGGGGATGAATTGTTTGAGAACGTGATGGTTGAGTGGGATAGGCTTCCCTGAAGAGATGAGACTTAAGGGATCGCCTAAAGGCAGTCAGAGTGGGAGATAGACGGACAGGTTGGGGTAAAGAGTTCAAGAGGATGGAAGAGACTCTAGTGAAGTCCTGGAGGCGAGCATGGGAGGAGTTGACTATATTTCCACGTGTTATCAAACATTGTATAAATATAACAAAAAGTATTACAGTTCATAGAATTGTGACAGGCAGCCTCTGCTGGGTCCAGGCCCCCCTGCTGACTTGACGGGGCCCGGAGTACTGCCTGTACCCCCTATCAGCGACTCTGCATAGGTGCCAACTGCTCTGGAGTTAGTGGGTAAGTCCTACATCTTGACCCTCTGTCCCACTGATACTATGTCCCGAGCTACCTCGGAGGTAGCGAGCAGAATGGCCGGGCCAAATGCCACTCAGCGGCATCCGGCTATTCACTCACTGCCTTTCGGCCCCTATGAGTATAGGAGCGAACGGCAGCGAGTGAACTGCCGGAGGTTCGGCTGTTGGATTGGTTCAGTCAATATATAAATATATACACACACACATATATATATATGTATATAAATATATATATAAAGAGATAGAGAGATAGAGAGAGAGAGAATATATATATATCATATACAGGGCCGGTGCTGCCACTAGGCAGCCGCCTAGGGCGCACTCCTGCCTAGGCCGCAGACTCGACCACTCACCCTCTCCATGGCGCCTTCCCATCTATTTCAAATTGCAAAAGCCAATAGCAGGCTGGCAATTGCACCTGCCCATAGAGCAGAGTAACGGAACTGAGAGACAACTTTATCTCTCAAGTCTGCTCCTCTGCTCAGTGGGTGGGATTTCAATAGCCAGTCTGCTATTGGCTATATTTGGGGGTTGTGCCACAGGAGGGGCGCTGAGGGTGCAGGTAGCTGGTCTTGCCTAGGGTGCAAAATAGCCTAGCACCAGCCCTGATTATGTAGTAATAATGTCTTTTGGAGGCAGCAATGATGACATATCATCACTTAAAACCTAACTGCCATGGCGATTGCAAAGCCCCAGCACAGTGTACTGCTGTTCTGATGGATGCTTCATAATGTATAATTGAAGCAGAACCCCAGCCAAAATTTTTTTGCAACGTAGCTATTTGTAGATTAGACACTAGGGGCTGAGTAGATGAGCTAATTATATTATCTAATTGCTTAACAGCTGTTGAGATAAGAAATCAGCCACACAGGGGGTGCATTGTTGTTCATGAAGTTGGTCAACTCATAGATATTCTTTGTGAAAAGGAGCAGTAAGGCCTCATTCACTCGGGGAACGGCCGGCACGTACATCTCCGTTCTGTGTGCACAACCGTATCGGGCAGCTCCCGGAAGGACAGGGGCTGCGGGTGATTAGTACGCAGCCCCTGTCCTTCTCCGTGGGACAACGCGGCCGTGCGCCCCCTTAGCTCACCCGCCCTGTACGTCCATGCGGATGCGGGTGTCCATACTTGTATGCTGACAGAATGGATCCTGTCTGCGTCCAAGCCGGGACATCCGCACACGTATGGACGTGCAGGTCGGTTGAGCTAAGGGGGCGTACGGCCACGTAGTCCCATGGAGAAGGACAGGGACTGAGTACTAATCACACGCAACCCCTGTCCTTCCCGTGAGCTGCCCGATATGGCCGTGCACGCAGAACGGAGCTGTACGTGCCGGCCGTTTCTTGTGTGAATGAGGCCTAAAGCACAACTATTGTGTAACACAACAAATCAGGAAACAGTATGTCATGAGCACATAGGACTGCCCCCATCTACATATATAATTACCAAGTATATGTCGAAATGAGGTGTTTAAAACATTAACACACAATGATAGCATTCTATTTTACAAGCTGCTCTCTTTAGCACATACCCTGAGTGGCCAGATAAACCTCCAGAGCTATAGGAACATTGTACCTTGCTGGCATGTGACAAGTTCTTAAGTCCATTATATTTTTCATCGTTCATTATACTTTATTGTTTCTTTTATTTGGTTTACAGAAAAGCATGTTTAGGTAATTTAATATAAAACTTTGATGTAACCGTAAAACCCCTTACTCCCTGTATTACGGCCTGACCTTCTGTTGCCCAGCCTTTGAGGAATACTTTAGCTTTCTTATTCTTAAGCTGCGATATATAAGCTGAACTGATATTTTATTGCTGATATCCAAAAACGAAATTGCATTATCACTGAGGCAGAAATGTACTGTGCCAGCGGGTTTTATTGGGCCCTCTAACTATGCTGTATAAATGAAATATTGTTGTCATAGTCCTTTATGATTTGTTTTTTACTGCTGTGCTAAGTACTTTTACCTTCCAGATCAATATAGTTATTGGTGTATTCATCTGTGCCATCATTCATTTTGATGCCTGAAGTGTAGGAGAGTTCAACAAGTATTTAAAGGGGAACTACGTATAATGTAAGGTCAATAACCTTAGTGTAATGTCATGTTAAAACCTCGCTTTCTCTGTGCTTTGTTTGTAAGTATACAGTCATTATATATAATAGAGCCATTTATATGCTGCATAAGTCACAACCATTGTACAGCACCTCAATGCGGGCTACATAAGGCTACAGATATCAATCTATCTATCTATCTATCTATCTATCTATCTATCTATCTATCTATCTATCTATCTATCTATCTATCTATCTATCTATCTATCGATGTAATCAAAATGATCAAAATCAGGTTTATTGGCAACATTCACAAACTTTTAGTTGTTTGCAATGAAGAAATCACACAAGAACAATTGAAATAGGTCAACACAACAAATTTTTTAAGTGGTTTCCCCAAATTCAACGGAAAATTTAACTTTTAATGACTTCTGCAGTCTCAAAATCATTCAACCCTCTGAATAGAATCCCTCATAAGAGCACAAATCTGAGATTTCTGAGAAGGCCGGTTGAGAAAAACCCTTGAGTGACTGCAAATGACCTGTGACAAGACTTGGTGGCAATAAGCACTGAGGTTTAAATTTGCACAGTAAGACCCGTACTAAACAGAGGTTTCCATGACAGAACTCCAATACGAACACCACTACTGACCCAAAAGCACAAGAAAAGTTTGCTCCAATATGCTCTGGGATTCTGTTCTGTGGAGCGATGAAACAAAACTGGAACTTTTCAGCCCCTATGGATCAGCGATATGTCTGGAGGAAGAAGAATGAAGCCTACCCTGAAAAGAACACTGATTACAGTTAAGCATGGTGGTGACTCAGTGATGCTCTGGGGCTGCTTTGTATCCTCTGGCACTGGAAACCTGCAGCATGTGGAGGGCAAGATGGATTAATGAAAGTATCAGGACATCCTAGGAGAAAACATAATGTCGTCTGTGCGTAAGCTGAAGCTTGGGCGTCATTGAACAGGACAATGATCCCCAGCAAACCTCATATTCCATCAATGCTTGGTTGCAGAAGAAGTCCTGGAAGATTCTACAGTGGCCATCACAGTCACCTGACTTGAACCCCATAAAAAATTTCTGGTGGGATTTGAAAAAGGAAGTTGCAGCCCGCAAACCCAAGAATATTAGTGAACTGGAGGCCATTGCGCTTGTGGAATGGGCTAAGATTCCTCAGGAATGCTGCCAGAAACTAGCGTCTTGCCATGCATCTCGTTTGCAGCAGGTCATAACAGTCAAAGGATGCTCTACTAAATGCTAAAGATGCTTTTCCATGAAGGGTTTGAATAATTTTGAGACTGCAGAAATCATTAAAAGTTGCATTTTCAGTTGAATTTGGGAACACCACTTGAAACATACATTGTGTTGATCTATTTCAATTGCTTTTGTTTGATTTGTGCATTGCAAACAGCTGAAAGTCTCTAAATTTTGCCAATACACATGATTGGCAATGAATAATTTTGATTATAACTATTTATAGAAATAACCATATTTGCTAATTTGATATACAGGCTCTGATCCTGCGTAGAGGTGCTGTACAATGGTTGTGACTAAAGCTGGCCATACACCTTACAATTATCTGCAGATATTCTGTGGTCAGATGGAAAAGGTGCAACAGATTCCTCCATCTACACTTAACTGTGTGGATGGAGGAATCTCCACCTGGGCCAATCTGTTGCACTTTTTCCATCTGACCACAGAAAATCTGCAGATAATTGTAAGGTGTGTGGGAACCTTTAGGCTGCACAGAATTGGCTCTAATAAAGCAAGTAATGCTGCTGATCTTCAGCACCTCTTAAGGTGCCCACACAGCTTACAATTTATTCTGCAGATTTTCTGTGGTCAGATGGAAAAAGTGCAACAGATTGGCCCAGGTGGAGATTCCTCCATCCACACAGTTAAGTGTAGATGGAGGAATCTGTTGCACCTTTTCCATCTGACCACAGAAAATCTGCAGATAAATTGTAAGGTGTGTGGGCAGCTTTAGATTAATCTGGCTGTGGTTGATGACAGTTTCGGCTGCTCCAGTTTTGATAAATTCCCCCCATAATCTTTCCTCCATCACAACACTTTCGTGGACCCAAGCTCAAATAGTGAAGATCTGCTGTCTTATAAGGAACATC